TAGTTGTAGCTGCGGCACTTTGCGAATTAAGGTACGCAGCTCAACGCGGCTGATGTGCAACTGCGGCTGCTGGGCTGTGATTATACCAGAGACCCTGACGGCGGCAGACGCAAAACGAAACTACAAAATAACTCTTTAAATACAACAGCTACGTAATAAATGAGGTTACGGCAAGCTTACATGAAGGTACACTGTTGAAGCAATGAGCTGTCAGCGCAGCAATACAAAACGAATGTACGCTGGAAATTTAATGACAAAAGGTAGACGTAAATGCGATACGATGCGTGGTAATTTAAGCAACGGCGAGAGACAAACGGCAGCACGTTACCTACACACACGCACCCGCTGCAACGCCGCGCCGCCGCACGCCGCTACACCTGCACTACACCTGCGCCGGCACCACGCCGCTACAACACGCTGGCACCACGCCTGCGACGCCCGCGCACCTGCTACGACGCCACGCGCCGCTGCGGCGCGCGACACGCCGCTGGCTGCACGCCGCTACTGGCTGCCACGCACTGCAACGCCACGCGCCGCTGCAAATTACGCGCCGCTGCACTGGCTGCCACGCCGCTGCACCTGGCACCTGCGCGCCGCTGGCTGCGCTGCCGCTGCAGCGCACGCATGCCGCCAAACACGCCACGCCGCTCGCACGCTGCAGCGCCGCGGCACGCCGCCCGCACGCTGCAGCACACGCACCGCGGCACCACGGCTGGCTGCCGCTGCAACGCACGCCTGCCGCCGCTGTGCTGCATACGCTGCAACCGCCGCACACCAGCGACGCACCGCTGCAGCACGCCACGCACACTGTATACACTACTGTTGCCTGCACCATACTGACGCCGCGCCGCTGACGCTGCCTTGCTTGGCACCTACTACACTAACACACTACCTGCTACAACACCTGCACCCTGCCTACCTGCTACTACACACACACCACTGCAACACCTACTACCTTTACTACTGTACCATGACACACACCACTACAGCTGCACCCACTGCTACACCTACACTGTACACTACCTTCTACACACCACTACAGCACTACACACCACTTCCCACACACACCACTACCTTTACTACACACTAGCTACACACCACTACACACCACTGCTACCACAACACCCACACCACTTTCACTGCTACCTGCCCACACACTACACCACCACCACTACGGCGCCTGCACACCAACACCACCCGCTGCGGCGCGCCGCTGCGGCCACGGCGCTGACATACACGCCGCTGGCGCACTGCACTTAACACTTGCGCCGCTGCAACGCCTGCGCGCCTGCTGACGCCTGCCTACTTTTGCACAACTGACTTCTGCAGCGCTACGCTGGCGCATGCCGCGCACCGCTTCAACATTTTACCGACGCGCCGCTGCAACGCACGACCGCTGCAGCACCGTGCAGCGCTGCCTGCTGCACCACGCACACTGCAACACAACGCACGCGCCGCCAACGCCTGCACTTTTTACCATGACTGCAACGCCCACTGCGTGCGCCTGGCGCACCTTACTGCTTGCTGCGACGCGCGCGCTGCAGTGCACCACTGTGCAACGCATAATTGCTGCCACTGCAGGCGCTGCGCCACTGCAACACTTGCCGCTGCACGGCGCACTGCGCCGCTGCAACACATGCGCCGCTTGGCCGCTGCAGCGCCTGCACGCCGACTACAGCTCCTGCAGCTGCAGCACCTGCACATCTGCCAAAACGTGCAACACTTACACACCACTGCAACGCACACTACAACTCCCTACGCACAACTCAACACCTGCACCACTAACACCACACACCACTGCAACACACACACAACTACAACACACACACACCGCTGCAACACCTGCACCACTGCAACTCCACGCACAGCTGCAGCGCCTGACGCTGACACGGCACGCACCACTGCAACACCCCACGCAGCGCCTGGAGCACGCGCCACTGCAACACTACGCACCGCTGCAGCACACGCACCGCTGCAACACCCACACTTTCTGACACACTGCACTGCAGCGCCTGCACGCCGCTACACTGCTGCCTGCCTGTGCCTGCACCACTACAGCCTTGCCACTGGCACCTGCACGCCGCGGCACATGCACTGCCGCACAACGCCCACACACGCACTGCAGCACGCCGCTGCAACGCCCCACGCGCCGCACGGCGCTTTCTGCTGCAGCTGCTGCGCCGCTGCGAGCACGCACTGTACGGCGCTGCGGCGCCTGCACCGCTGCGGCACATGCGCCTTTGTTGCGCTGGCCACCACACCGCTGCGATTGACGCCACGCACGAGACTGCCGCCGCTGTGCCGCTATTATACGCGCCGCTGCAGCGCCTGCGCCCAGCAGGACTTTCACAACGCCTGACACCACGCGCTGACTCGCACGCCGCTGCTGGCGCCTGCGCGCCGCTGCGCCTGCACCTGCAACACGCCGATGCAACGCCTGCGCGCCACTGCAACACGCTGCGAACGACTGCAGCTGCAGTTACGCTACGGCGCCTAGCGCTGCAGCACTGCGCGCTGCAACACCTGCGCTGCAACGCCTGCGCGCCGCTGCAGCGCCTGCGCCGCGCAACGCCTGCATTTTTCTGACGCCTGCGCGCCGCTGGCACATGCTGCACCTGCCACTGCAACGCCCGCGCCACTGCAGCTGCCTGCGCGCCGCTGCAACGCACACGCGCCGCTGCAACGCCTGCGCCGCTTCACAACCCTCACTGCTGCAGCGACACGCCGCTTCTGACGCCTGCTTGCCGCTGCAACATCTGCGCTGCTGCAGCTGCCTGCGCCGCTGCGGCGCCTGCGCCGCTGCAGGCGCCTGCACGCATGCCACTGCAACGCCACGCGCCGCTGCAACACCTGCGCCGCTGCAACGCCTGCGCGCGGCTGCAGCGCCTGCGCGCTGCTGTGGCTGCACGCACCGCTATAACGCCTGCCACTGCAACGCCTGCATAGCAACCTGCAACGCCTGCACCACTGCAACTGCCTACGCACCACTGCAGCACCTACGCACCACTGCTTCACCTGCCACTACAGCACCACACACATGCAACACCCGCACACCACTGCAACTTGCCTGCTGCACCTGCAACGCCTGCACTGCTGCAGCACCTGCACGCCGCTGCAACACCTGCCACTGCAGCGCCTGCCACTGCAAGTACCTGCACCACTGCAGCACCTGCACCGCTACAACCTGCACGCAGCTTCAACGCCTACGCACCACTAAGCACCTACGCACCACTGACAACGCCTACACACCACTACAGCGCTTACACACCACTACAACTCCCCACACACACCACTGCAACACCTGCACACCTACTGCAACACTTGCACTGCAACGCCCTTACTTCAGCACCTGCGCACCACTACAGCACTTACGCACCACTGCAACGCTTGCACCCAACACCTACACACCACTGCAACACCTACGCACCACTACAGCACTTACACGCCACTGCAACACGCACCATTGCAGCACCCACTACAGCACCTGACACCACTACAGCACCTACGCACCGCTGTACCCACACACCACTGCAGCACGCACGCACCACTGCAACACCTGCACCACTGCAACACCTGCGCACCGCTACAACACCTACGCACCACTGCAACGCCTACGCACCACTGCAACACCTGCACACCTGCAACACCCACGCACCACTGCTGCTTGCTACAGCGCTGCTTGCCTACGCGCCACAACACCTACACACCACTGCAACACCTACACACCACTGCACAACGCACCCCACCACTACAACACCTACCACTACAACGCACCTACACCACTACAACACCTACACACCACTGCAACACAACCACCACTGCAACGCCCACACCCACTGCAACACCTGCACCACTACAACACCTACACACTACAACACCACACACCACTACAGCACCTACACCCACTGCTTACCTACACACCACTACAGCACCTACACACCACTTCAACACACCCACACACCACTACAACACCTACACACCACTGCAACACCTGCACACACTACAGCACTGCGCACCACTACAGCACACACACACCGCAGCACCCGCCTACAAGCACCTGCACACCGCCTACAACACTTGCCTACTACAACACTGCACCACTACAACACCTACACCACTACAACACCTACACACCACTACAACACTTGCCACTGCAACACCTACACCTGTAACACTTGCGCCACTGCTACATACACACACCACTGCAACACCCACACACCGCTACAACACTTGCACCACTACAACACCTGCACACCACTACAGCTCTGCACACACAACTACAACACCTACACACCACTACAGCACTGCAACTCACCACTACAACACCCACACACCGCTCTACACCTACACTGACCTACACACCACTACAACACCCACCACTACAACACCCACACCCCACTACAACACCCACACACCACTACAACACCTACACACCACTACAACACCCACACACCATCTACAACACTACACACTACTTCTAGCACCTGCACACCACTACAACACCTCACACACCACTACAACACCTACACACCACTGCAACACTGCACCACTCAACACTGCACACCACTACAACACACACACCACTGCATCTTACCACTGCAACACCTACACACCACTACACCACTGCACCACTACAACACCCACACACTACAACAACACATACCACTGCAACACCTACACACCACACTACAACACCTACACACAACACTTGCAACTAAGCACCTACACACCACTACAACACCTGCACCACTACAGCACCACACCACTACAACCACACCACTACAACACCCACACACCACTACAACACTACAACCACCACTACAACACCTACACACCACTACAACACCTACACACCACAACACCTACACACCACTACAACACCTACACACCACTGCAACACCACACACCACTACAACACCTACACCACTACAACACCTGCACCACTACAACACCTACACACCACTACAACACCTACACACCACTACAACGCCTACACACACCTACAACACCTACACACCACTTCAACACCTACACCACTGCAACACCTACACACCACTGCAACACCCACACACCACTACAGCACCTACACACCACTACAGCACCTACACACCACTACAACACCTACACACCACTACAACACCCACACACCACTACAACACCTCACACACCACTACAGCACCTACACACCACTGCAAGCACCTACACACCACTACATACCTACACACCACTACAACACCTGCAACGCCACCACTACAACACCTACACCACTACAGCACCTGCACCACTGCAACGCCTGCACCCACTGCACCTACACACCACTGCAACACCTGCACACTGCACTGCAACGCCACACCACTGCAACACCTACACACCACTACAGCGCCTACACACCCCTGCAACGCCACGCACCACTTCACAACACCTACACCACTACAGCACCTGCCCGCTACAACACCTGCACCACTTTCTAGCACCTGCACCCACTTCTGCGCCTACCCCTGCAGCACCTGCACCACTACAGCACCTACACACCACTGTACCACGCCCACCTGCCACACACCACTACAACACCTACACACTGCAACACCTACACACCACTACAACACCCACACACCACTACAACACCTACACACCACTATAGCACCTACACACCACTACAACACCTACACACCACTACAACACACACACACTGCTAACCTACACCACTACAACACCTACACACCACTCTAGCACCTACACACCACTGCAACACCCACACACCACTACAACACCTACACACAACTCACCCACACACACCACTCCTACACACCACTACAACACCTACACACCCACTACAACACCACACACCACTACAACACCACCACTACAACACCCTACACACACCACTACAACACTTGCACCACTACAACACTTGCACCTACAACACCTACACACCACTACAACACCTACACACCACTGCAACACTTGCACCACTACAACACCTACACACCACTACAACACCCACACCACTACAACACCTACACACCACTACAACACCTGCACCACTACAACACCTGCACCTACAACACCTACACACCACTACAGCACCTACACACCACTACAACCGCACCCACTTCTTACCTACACCACTACAACACTTGCACCACTGACCACACACACCACTACAACACCTACACACCACTACAACACTTGCCACTACAACACCTGCACCTGCTACAACACCTACACACAACTACAACTCCTGCACACCACTCACAACACCCACACACACAGCACAACACCTACACACCACTACAGCACCCGCACACACCACTACAACTCCCTACACACTACACACCTACACACCACTTCTAGCACCTACACTGTACCCACACACACACAACTACAGCACCCACACACCACTACAACACCTGCACCACACAGCACCTACACTGGCTTCACAACACCTACACACCACTACAGCACCCACACCACTACAGCACCCACACACACTACTGCAACACCTACACACCACTTCTTGCCTACACCACTGCAACACACCCACTGCAGCACTACACACCACTACAACACCCACACCACTGCAACACCTGCACCACTACAACGCCCACTACAGCACCTGCACCACTACAGCACCTACACACCACTACAACACACACACCACTGCATTACCACCACTACAACACCTACACACCACTGCACCTGCACACCACTGCAACACCTGCACTCTACAACACCTACACACCACTACAACACCTACACACCACTCACAATACCTACCACTACAACACACACACACACAAGCTACAACACCTACACCACTAGCACCTACACACCACTACAACACCTACACACCACTACAACACCTACACCCATACAACACCTGCCACCACTGCTTACCTACACACCACTACAACACCTACACACCACTACAACACCTACACACAACTACAACACCTACACACAACTGACATCCTACACACCACTACAACACACACACACACAACTACAACACCTACACCACTACAACACCTACACACCACTACAACACCTACACACCACTACAACACCTGCACACCACACAGCACCTACACACCACTACAACACACACCACTACAGCACCCACACCACTACAACACCCACACCACTGCAACACCTACACACCACTACAACACTACACTAGCTACAGCACCTACCACACTGCTACAATACCTACACACCACTACAACACCCACACACCACTACAACTACACACCACTACAGCACCCACACACCAATACAACACCTACACACCACTACAACACCCACACACCACTACAAAACCCCACACCACTGCAACACCCACACACCCACTACAACACACCTACACACCACTACAACACCCACACACAATACAACACCCACACTACTGCCTAAACCCACACACCAATACAACACACCTACACACCACTACAACACCACACACCACTACAACACCCCACACACCACTACAACACATCCACACACCACTACAACACACCCACCACCAATACAACACACCCACACACCACTACAACACCCACACACCACTACAACACACTCACACACCCACTACAACACCCACACACCACTACAACACACACCCACACCACTACAACACCTACACACCACTACAACACCTACACACCACTCTGTACCTACACACCACTACAACACCTACACACCACTACAACACCCACACACCACTACAACACCCACACACCACTACAACACCCACCTGCCTACAACACCCACACACACTACAACACCCACACACACACCTACAACACCCACACACCACTACAACACCTACACACCACTCTGCACCTACACCCACTCTAGCACCTACACACCACTACAACACCCACACACACCACTACAACACCCACACCACTGCACCCACACCACTACAACACCCACACACACACACCTACAACACCCACACACACCACCACAGCACCTACACCACTACAACACCACCACACACCACTACAACACCTACACACACCACTACAACACCCACACACACCGCACAACACCCACACACCACTACAACACCCACACACCTACAACACCCACACACCACTACAACACACCCACACACCACTGCAACACCTACACACTACAACACCC